ATGTTCTCAATTATCTTCAAAATCTGCAGTATTAGCTAAATGCCAGTAATTATGATTTATTTAACAACCGTGCAAAGAGTTCTATTTCGAATCTTATTATTCAACTTGCACGGTGAATAAAGACAACCTAACCGAAGTTGATCAAGAAACGGATGATAACAACAATATTGCAAATCACTGCTGTGTTGTTATGACATCATCACAAGAAATAATCTTATTATTAAAAGACAAACTGCATGTTAATATAAATTTAAAATTTTTTCAAATGCATAGTCTTACCGCAGGAATGAAAAAAGAATTAAATGTTTTAATGAACAACATTCTAGAGGAAAGCATTTTAAACAAATTTATCAAGCTTTGTTAACGATAAAATCAATAAGTGTTGAGTCAGATAGGATTTTTTTTTGCTGCTGAAATTTTTACCAAAATAAAGTCTAGTTTTGATGATAAATTACTAGATATTTTATGTAAATTGATAAAATAATTAACAATAACTAATTTAAAAAATGATTGACAATAGCTAAATTGTTTTTATTTTGTATTTAATGCCGGTATATATAATATATATAGTGGAAAAAAGTAGTCGCATTATTAACATTATTAATAATGCGACTACTAAGTTGTATCGAGTTATAGGCATGCAAATTAAACTAAAAATACAAAGAGTTCTCTGTATATTTAAATTTAAAACAATTTTTTATGGATCTTATATAAATATGCCAAGTATTAAAATTTTTGCTATAAAAAAACTATTTTCTTCATTGGTGCAGAAAGAGAAATAGCGAATTTGTAAAGCACCTACATTATTTAATTAATGTTAGTCCGGATCTGATTGCTCGTTAAGTAAAAACTCGTCAGTTTGAAAAAAAATTACGTGTTTGATTCAAATTTGATAGAATTAATGGAATCTTTTTTAAGTTTAATAAAATCATATAAAAGTAATTTTTTTTTAAGGATTGCGTGTTATTAACATGTTATTTACAACCTTGACATATTTATCTTTTGATCTGAAGTCTTTTTAATTTTCGATTGCTTATAATAGGCAGCTAACATTGTATGGTCTCTTTTTGTAACAGATTCGGGCTCGTGGTTTTTGAGTTTTAAATCAAGCAAAACTTAGAATGGAGGCACTCTTACTGAACCATCAGCTTTACGTCTCATTGAATTATCTTTTACTATTAAACGGAAACGCTCATACTGATTTCTCAACTTTACGTCTTATTTTTATGTTATTTTTTTAAGTTGATTTAGGTGCCCCAAGAAGTCCTTACGGTCTTATCACAGAGCACCGCAGAAGAGCATTTAATAGGAAGTTCACGCCTACTTCCCAACCGATGTCGCAAGACTTGCCCAGACCCGACGGGCATTTGTTTTAAAAAGTTACGTTCTAAATGTGTTTTAAACGTCTTTTAAACGTCTTTTAAACATTAATGTTTAAAAGACGTTTAAAAGACATTTAAAATACATTTAGATTGTAACTTTTTAAAACAAATGCCCGTCGGGGAGGTGGGGTTTGAACCACGGATATTACGTATATGAGGCAAGTGTGCTACCACTGCGCTACGGCTGCTTAAATTAGATTATCATTTATTATTGAATGGAAACATTATTACTGAATTCTTAACTTAACGTCTTATTGGATTATTTTACATTATTGACCTCGTATGAAAGCCATGTATCCAATTTATTTCAAAGTTAGCATCTATTTTTCACCTCAAATTTTTACTAATAAGAGATTGTTGTTGTGAAAATATCATCAATTAGCCAATTCCTTGAATTGACTTTTGTCCAACCTAGCTTGAATAAAGGAATTAACTGTGCACCGGTCTTTAGTAGTTGCAAGTAATTATCTAAAAACGATAAGTTGATGATATAGATCTAATTTCCGACCCTCTCCTTTCAAAATGAGGGAGTTGTAAGTTTTACAGGGTTGTAATTTACAATATTTTTTAATGAAATTTAAAACCTGTTAATGAATTTAAATTTAGTATGAGACTGTTAAGTTGAAAGTTTTACTGCTCTCAAGTTTAAGCAGAGGAGGATTTTGGGGTATTTTTGTTTCCAGACCTCCACCATGGCAATTTTTTGCAAAACCTCCTCATTTGGCGTAAGCATGAAAATACTTAAGTTTGGAGTTTGCACAAAGCGTGAAAGCAGAATTGTTAATAATAAATAAATATATAAAAAATAAATATCATAAACATAAAATTCTAACGAACTATGCAAAGTATCCAAGAAATAGTCGTATACAGTCGTATACAAAGTATCCAAGAAATAGTCGTATACAACACTAAGATATGATAAAATAAATATAATAACAAATAATACATTATCAAGTCAGTTCTTTTTATAATTGATGTTTGTATTAATCAATAAAGTATTTCATAAAAATCCTTAATGTTTTATATTCTTTTTCTTTCTTCCAAGTGTTAGATTACTTTTTAGTTTAATTTTCTTTTTTTTTTGTATCAAAGTAATTTAAAAATAATCCTTGTAATATTTTGTATAATAATTTTAATTTTTAATTATGTTTTCAGAGAGCTTTCATTATTCAAATTTATTCGCGATTCGTTTTTAGACAGTATTTTTTGAATTAATAGGGACCTCGATATGAAATTGAGAATCTTGTGAGTTTGGTATTTTTAAAATGGTATTTTAAAATTTCCTGTCGCTCTTGTGTTATGACTGTTTAGACTATTTAAAAAAAAGTTTGTTCTGAAATGATCTGGCACCAGATCTAGTTTGTATTTAAACATGAAAAGTATATTTTAGTAAATATTTATTTGAAAGATACTTAGCGCTTTTACTTTTTACAATAAAGGGAGTTGGGCGTGAGTAAATTTATTTTTACATTAAAGGGGGTTGGGCGTGAGTAAATTTATTTTTGTTACACACTGACTAGTGCGACATGGTTAAGGCATGTTGCATTTTTAACAGTTCTAGCTTTGATTTGCGAGTACTTCCCAATATTTTTAACGTAAATATAACGGTTCAAGCTTTGATTTTTTTTTTTAATTTTATTTAGGTGCCCCAAGAAGTCCTTACGGTCTTATCAAAAAGCACCGCGGATGAGCATTTAATTGGAAGTTCACGCCTCCTTTCTAACCGATGTTGCAAAACCTTCCCAGGGTTGGGGTTTATACCACGGATCCTTTGTGGCAAGTACGCTACCACTTAGCCACGGCTGCTTGAAAATTTTTTTTGAATCTTAATAATTTTGTACCCGTATATAAAGATGCTAAAAAATTTTATTTATAATAACTTAGTTAAATTTTTACCTTTTTTATTAAAGAATACGAATGTTAAAGAGGCTCAATTTTTAAAAAAATGGACTCTTTCGAGAAAAGCGCTTTTCATTTATTATTTTTCGTTAATTTCACAAATTTTTAGGGTTAAAGTAAGGTTTTTCTAATAGTTTTCCAAATTCCAAACTAAAACTTTTTAGTTTGGAATTTAGAAAAACTGGTGTTAAATAAGGAAAATCTGTCTAGAACATTTGTTATTATTATCTAATTTATGTCTTAGCACAGCTGTGTTTTATGACACTACACAGTGAGACATAAATCTTGCTGCTGTGCAGCGTTACAAACAAAAGACGTAAGTTGAGTTCATTCAATTTTCTAATTAACAAAAATCAAAGCACGTATTTGGAAGCAAATTAATCAGAAAATTTTTTTGGTTTCAAAATTGTTACTGAACTTCTTGAATAGGTTAATCACTCTAGTTTAAAAATAAAATTTCTCTATCAAAAAATATTAAAGTATATCATTGGTATTCAAGGGAAATGCACAAAGTCCAAAAACATTATTTTGAGATAATTAACAAATAAGTTTTTGCGTACTAGTTCAAATAATAAGTTTTTGTGTAATAGTTGAAATGAAAAATCTTAATAACTCATTAATAATTGATTTATTAAATTTGTGTGGTATATCAAATGACAGATAATTTAAAATACTAAATAGTGGTATAAACAACTCCAAACTGCAAAAAATGGACTTAGTGCATTCCCCTTGTATATATACCGACTTGTATATTAGACTTGATAAATTGGTTTCCAGCATAAACTTTTTTTTAATTCAGAATCATTTACGAATATCTTTCTTTTTAACTTTCTGACATTAATAACAACATATACTTATTTATCAATATTATTTATTATTTTATTTTATTGTTATTTATTATTGTGATAGAAATAATAAGATAAACTTATAATATTGTACAATATGTAGTTTCTCAAATATAAAAAAGGTGTTTAAATTTTTCTGACCCATTTTTCAAAGTAGTTTTGATAAACTGTTTCAATAAATAAAAATCATTTTTTCTATTTTTAGTTTTTGCTAAAGATCTAGATAAATTTAATTTTTTACGGTCTATAACTAAAAATGAATTAAAATTTTGAAAAAACTTTAAAGATTGGAAAAAAGTCACTTTTTGGGTATCAGTTACCAAATTTAATGTACCAAACTATATTTTAAATTACTTTGATGTTTTTAAAAATCAAATTCTATGCATTTATATTGATATTTTTAACTTTTTCGTTAAATATTATTAAAGTATACTTTTGTTACATTAGTACTGTTACTTCACTTTAAGACACAGGTAACAACTGCGTTTAGTTAAGTAAGAACTATGTTCGGTGAAATAAACAGCATGTTATAAAAAAAGAAAAATTAAATTTAAGAACTTTAGAGTATTATTCTTGTCCGAAGCTTATTAGGCTTACCTAATAAGTGTTTTAGATAAGAGTTGTTATTTTTTGAATAAACAAATATTTGTTTAGAAGTCATTCAAAGGAGCAATCACTCAGCACGTCTTTTCTTATGGGGAGTATATATAAAATGGTGGGTTGAACTTTTTAAATATTTAAGTGTTGGTCTGGGTTAAAAAGAAGCAAAATAAGATTAAATTTTTAAAGTATAATGTTTTAGTACAGGAACACTTTATTTGACTAAATTTTTTAATCATCTTTTTTTTTTTAAATAAAAAAAATGGATTAAAGTAAGCTGTTTAAAATTTTCAAAAGTAGACAACCTATGTATAAAAAGTCTGTCATGTTTTTCATCATTAAAAAGTTTTTAGGAAAAGTTATAAATGTAATATATTGTAAAAAAATATGATATAGCTTCTCAGAAAAGGTATACTTTTGTGTGTATATATTTGTATATATATATATATATATATATATATATATATATATATATATATATATATATATATATATATACATATATATATATATATATATATATATATATATATATATATATATATATATATATATATATATATATATATATATATATATATATATATATATATATATATGTATATACATTATATATATATATATATATATATATATATATATATATATATATATATATATATATATATATATATATATATATATATTTATAACATAAATATTTTTATATATAAAAAATATATATTCGTATATATGTATATATATTTTATAGTCATTATATAAATTATAAATAGTATATACTTTTAAAGTAAAAACAGTTTTAATATTTAGCTGCTATTTCTCCTGGAACGTCCCTGTTTATATCTTTTCCTGTTTCAACAGGATAACTATTTATAATCGATAATGTTTGCAGTGGTTTTAAAAAATAAAATTATATCAAATGAAATAATACTTTATTAGTACTAAAAAGGAGCTATCTATAACGTGTGCTTTTTTCTAAAAAAAAATAAATAAATACAACCTAAAAATGTCTCTTTCTAAAAAACTGCGTGCGTGCTTTGTGGACACCCCAAATTTAGACCCGGTATTAGCGTGCGGCCGTACAACCAGAACTATAAAACAGTTGCGTAATTTACAAATTACCCGAAAAGAGCAATACTTTTCTCAACATTATTATGAGCAGATATGGTGGGGCAAAAAAAAACTTTTAAAAAAAAGGATATATATATATATATATTGAAGTTTTTTGTAAATTAATTGATTAAATTATAACAATATTTTTTTCTTTGATGGAATTAAGTTATCAATCAGGAGAAATGGGCATTCATGGTGATATTAAGGTTTTAGTTACATCTTCGAGCGATAGTGATCTGGTTATAAAAACATTTACCTGGCGTTGGTTAATATTAGCATTATATAGTATAACAGCGTTTTCAAATACATTTGTATGGTTGAGTTTGTTTACTGTTCCTGATATAATATGTGCTTTTTACCAAATTGATAAAAAAGTATTTTTTTGGTCAAATAATGCTTTTACTCTAATGCAACTTTTTGTCGCAGTTCCAGCATCACTTTTGCCTTCTAAAATTGGTTTGCGTCGCACAATGATTTTGGCATCGTCTGTTAATGCAATTGGAGCAATTATTTTAATAGGAGGAGCTTATCGAAATGGTTTTCCATATTTTGTCACTGGTCAAACTATAATAGCCATAGGTGCAAGTATATTACCACAATTAGCACCTGAGGTTTCTGCTGTTTGGTTTAGTGAACGTGAGCAAGCTATAAGTACTAGTCTTGGTGTTATTCTTGGAAATGCTGGAGCTGCAGTTTGTTTTTTACAACCTGCATTACTACTAAAAAATGTGAATCTGGTTACTGAAATGTTTTTTATTGATAGGAAAATCAAACAGTTAGTTTATTCACAATCTGCTGTATGCTGTTGTCTTTTTTTACTAATAATGATGTTTTTTAAAGATAGACCAAAAAACCCTCCATCAAGATCTGAAGCTAAGAGAATAACTGCTGATAAACTAACCATAAAAGTTCTAAAAGAACAGTACAAAGTTCTTTTCAAAGATAAAAATTATCATCTATGTGGAAATTCATATGCACTAAACAGTGTTATAATTATAGTTACACCTGGTTTTCTTAATGAAATTTTATCTTGGAAATTCCAAAATCAATATATTGCAATAGGGTGGTTAGGATTCGGAGGAATTCTCATCGGTATATTAGGAAGTATTGTGTTTGGTATAATACTTGATAAAACTCACGCTTATAAAACAATATCAATATTTTTAGCGACTGCAAGTTTATTGTTTTGGATAGGTTTTACAGAATCTTTAGCCCAATATAATAGTATGGTATTAACTTTTACATTATTTATGATTAGTGCTTTTTTTTTTATTTCCTTTGGACCAATATTAGTTTCACTGATAGCAGAAATGACATACCCAATATCGGAAAGCTCATCATATTTATTTCCAATTACATTAGGACGATTTTATAGTATTCCTTTTGTGTTTTATTGTGGATGGCTTGTTGCAGTAAAAAAGGTGCATGCTGTTTGTTTAAGCATTGCTGTTCTTCTTGCTACCTGTTTAATTTTAATTATATTTGTAAAAGTTGAACAAAAAAGAAAGAAAGCAGATAAAATTCTCACAATAACAAGTACTTCAGAAACCTAATTTACTGCTTTTTTAATTGGAATAAAAAAGATTGCAAGCAATCTTTTAAATTTTAAAATTAAAGTTAGGTTACATTATAGTTAAAGTTAAATATATATATGTATATAGTTTTATCATTAGTTTAACTACACAAATTATTTTATCATGTTGACGGATAAATCTTGTTTTTATATTTCTATAAAAGTTCTTTATTTAATATAAAAAATATAATAAATTTCTAAAAAAAATAATACTAGTCTATATTTTTATCTTGTGTCTGTTGAGTTAATTTTTTTTTAGACAAGATTTTATTCAAATTTTATATACTTGGGCATATTTACATGATTTTGTATTGCTTAATTGCGAAATGTTCCAAAACCAGAATTTTTTTTTTTTGAAATATGGAGTTGTATTTTTTAGACTTTAATAGAAAAATATTTAATATTATAGAGTATTTATACATATTTTGTAAACAAAATATTTAACATTTAAAAAAATATATAAATATATTCTTATATATAGAAGTTTATAACATAGTGTTATCTTTTATATAATTATTGTTTGCCATGCTGACTCAAAACATAAAAATATGTGTTTATGCAAATTATGGTGGCACTAATTCATCAAATCCTTTAAAGGAAAAATGCGTCATAGAGACATTTTTATACAATGAATTATTTTCTCTACTCAAGTATTGAATGAACGACATCATCATGTTTATAAATTAAATAAAACAAAAAAAAGTCTGATGTTAATGTTTCTTGAAACATAAAATATTTGAACAAGATAACGATTAAATCCTTGAAAGTTAATTCTTGAAATTTTTGTTTATATAAACGTAAAGAGGTTGTTTATTCAATACTTAATCTGAAAATTGTTCTTGCTGTGTTTGTCATTTTTTTAGATCATAATATATCTTTTAATATATCAATAAAAATTTTTAAAATATGGTTTAACGATAGATGTAAATTTGTTTTTTTCTTTTTTTTTCCTTTCCTCTTATTGCCTCTGCATTTTTTGCTTTGCATTTATTACACAAATTACAAAAATTCTTACAATTCAAAATTATTATTTCAAGATAATGAGTTAATGTTCTGTTTTTATTTCTATTTTTTTTACTACAAATAATTGTATACGATTAAGTTTTACATAATAGTTTCCAACTATTTCCTTTAAATCAATGAATCAATGAAAGTTAATGAAACCATATAAATCAATGAAAAATAATTATATAAATCAATAAATCGATGAAAGTTAATGAAACTATAATCACACATGTTTCACAAAAATTGAAATAGAGCCATATATTAGATATCTGACAATAAACATAAATAATAAAATATTTATCTGAAAAAAATAAATAATTAAATAAAAACTCATATTAAAATAAATGTCAATAATTTGTGTTGCCAAGCAAAATTTATATCGATATTATTATTATTATTAATCTTAATATGCTGCAATGTGTATGCTTGTTATTGGGGTTCAAACCGTTTACTTTATGCTTTAGGTGGTACATCTATAAATGAGATTAACTTTTTCGAATATGTACTTTTCACATATGTACTTTTTAGATTAAGCTTAAAATATAATAAAAAAATGAAAAGGTTTTATATTCCTAAATTAAAAATTTTCGAGTTGTAAAATTTTTACCTTCTAGCAAATCTCGTAGCGACCATGTAAAACTCTAAAGTGATCATCAATAAATTACGTCACACAATTTTTGACCGTTTTTGACCCTCTCTTCGCAATATCGTAACTCTTTAGTAACAAGCCTCGTACGAGTCATCATCACAAAACCTTTTCCCATCCCCCCTAAACCTTTTCCCATTGCCTCTAAAAATTAAGATATATGTTTTTTAAACGGATTTTAATATGGCATCATCTGATAGAAGAAAGAATTCTACATCAAAGTGACGTAAAGGTTACAAAAACTCCAAGTAAAAGCAAAGATATATATATAGATAACATGCCATAATACAGTTATATATGACTCTATGTTTTTATGAATACTAATATAGTAAAACACGTGAATTTTATTGGGACATGTTCTGAAACATCACGATTGAGAACGCTAAAAGTGAGTTACAATATACAATGTAGGGCTTCTCAAACGGGACCCCGTTTTGTTATCCCGTGATTTCAATAAAATTTGTTGCCACTCTAAGTTACAAAATTATCATAATCAATCATAATCATAATCAAATATATTCGAAATAAGTTATATCATTTCAAGGAAATTTACAATAGTACAAGTACTGATATAAAGTAAATACCTCAATATACAACATAACGTTATAGACAATGATGAAAGTAGTAATAATAACTGATATCAATAATACTAATAACAATAATAATAATAATAATAGCAATAATAATCATAATAATAATAATAGTAACAATAATGGTAACAATTATAATAAAAGGAGAATTTCATAAATAAAGACAATAACAGCAACAACAAAAATTTAGTAAATAATGACAGCAACAACAAGGATTTCGTATAAAATAGAGAATAGATGAATGATAAGAGATAAATAAATAGATAGATAATTAAAGAGTGTCAAAATATTAGTACTAATATTAATATTATAATGAAAAATTAATTAAAAGTTTTAAAAATGGCAGATAGAAAACCAGCTAGATGTAGATGGATAAGTAAAGGATTTCAAAATGTTAAAAATATCAAATTAAAAACTGAAGGATCATGAATTGATAGATATAATAAATAATTTCAATTTTAATTTGCAGAAGTATTTAATTGTATTTTTTTAACAAATAATTAAAAGGCTTGATTTTGAATTGAGAGATCGAATCAAAAGATTTTAGGTCAGGAAGTAGTTTGTTCCATAAGCTAATACATCGATATTTAATGGATTTGTTTCCATATTTAAAAGAGTGGTGTTTTGGAATAACTAAGTTTAAGCTACTAATGGAACGAAGAAGATAATGACAATTTGTACTTGTAATAAAATTGTTGAATGATAGGTAACGGTTTTGGTGATGATAATTCCAGACAACTTGGCAGTTAAGACCACAAGCTTAATTTTTATATATTAGAGATTAATTTTAATATATTAGAGCATATTACATTAGATTTAAAGTTATTATGCTAAAAATATATTATTTTCAAGACTTTATTTTGGAGATGTGACAACCTAAAAATAATTTGTTAACGGGATTGTCCCCATACTTGACATGCTTATCTTAGATGGGACCCAAAAATAGCATCATATAAATTTATCAGAATTTTTAGGTTTACATAATAGCGGACTTTGGCTAGCATTCCAATAGATCTGCTGAGTTTCATTGCTAAGTTTTCATTTAGAAAAGCCTTGAAAATTTAATTTAGCCTTGAAAAGGAAGATTAGAATCAATTTTAATCCCAAGATATTTAATAGAGTCTAAAAGATAAATTTTTTTCTCGCTTAGTCTGAAATTTAAGTGCCTATTAATTGGTGCCAGATTGAATTTAAAGATAATCAGCTTTGTTTTATTAGAATTGAGAGAAAGTTTATTTATACAAATCCATTGAACAAGATTTCCATGATCATGATTAATATATTTGTTGATTTTTTTTTAAGTGATTTGTTAATTAGTAGCATGTTAGTATCATCTGCAAAATTGTAAGCAGCTCCAAATTTAAAAGAAGTACTTGAGTGGTTAAAGTGGTTCTAAAACTGACAAGTACTTGAGTGGTTTAAGTGGTTCTAAAACTGACATAAACAAACATTTAAAACAACATATTAGTACATTTGCATTGAAATTACTCATTAAAAAGATCAATTTTTGCTTAACTTTTCAAGAATTGGAGTTAAAAATGTTGTATTTAATTAATTTTGATTCATTGATGGATGACGATATATACAACTAATTAGAACATTTGTTTTGTGGGGGTTAATAATTTCAACAAAAACAGACTCAATTAATTTTGGTAAGTAAATCTTCAAGTCATGACGAACTACATAATCCAAATTAAACTGCAGATATAAAAGAGCCACAGTAATAGGATCACAGAACTTGGCCTCAGTGGGGCAATGCTCAATGTTGAATCCATTAATAGTTATGTCTGTAATACTATTTAAAATGCATATAAAATTTTGTTATTGTATGATGTAAGTTACAATATTTAGATAAATAAATATATAAATCAAACTCAATAATAATAATTGATCTATCTGGGACACAAACCAAAACTAAAAAATATTGGTGACTAATCTAATAAAAATCACAATTACAAGAAATTTCACTGAACAAAGGGGAGTTAAATATAAGATGAGATTTTAAATGTAAAATAACCACGGATAAGTTACAACTTGTAACTTGTCCGAATAGATCTAGTGGATTTACAGTCAAGCCAAACAAGGATTTATTCAATTTAAGAGACTTAGAACTCACTGATAAATTATTAGGCAACATTAGAATTGCGCAAACAATTCAAAAGGTCCGGAGGATTGTACGAACGTTTCGTAAGTCACAACTCAAAAATGAAATTTCACAAAAATACATAAAATTTGAATACAATAAAGAATTCAAGTTAACAGTGGATGTAAAGACAAAGTGGAATAGTCTTCTTGCAGTTTTGGAGCACTAAAAACATGTATATTAAAAGCATTGATTGATTTTAAACACAACAATATTAACAATATATCGGGGGAAAAATATTTATTTGCACAGGCTGTTGTAACGGCAAACGAATAAAATTTTAAATTGAAAGAATTGGCCGACGCAACGTATTTCTATTTGGTGTAGAAGGGGTATTACTGTTTGTATTTCTCATATAAGGCATAATAAGCTCAACAGTTAAGTGGATTCAAAGCCATTTGTCTAAAAGAAAGCAATTTGTATTACTAGAAAAGTCAGGAGCCCTCGATATTACACGTGATGTTCATCAGGGTTCAATCCTAGGTCCATTATTAATTTTAATATATATTAATGATATGCATAAAGCTAACCAACAAATATCTACAACTATGTGTGCTGACGATACAAATTTATTTTTTTAATTATCCTGATGCAAAGACTCTGTTTGAAACTATGAATATTGAACTCAAAAACTTCAACCTCTGTTAATAGCAAATAAATTATCCCTAAATTGTGAAAAAATAAGCTTTACTCTTTTCATAAAAAAAAAAAAATCTTCCGTTAAAGCTGCCTAAAC